ATGCAATGCAACTACTCATATCAATCGTCTCTGGTAGTTCAGAGGTGCTGGTACCTGGAGCCTGAGAGTGCTCGTCCATTTGTTTGGGACAGAACCCCTTCTGTATGGGTACCTGCACAAATAAACATCTCTACATATTCCAAATACCAACCCATCCAAGAGATGGTCAGTTCCCGATTTACCTGGAATCCCTGAATCTGACCATCACAGATACATCATCATACATATATATGCCTTGCTTCCCCAATGTGCTGGGATCATACGTGCAGGGTTAACATCTTGTGTGTCATAAGAATTGATTGTACCAGGTAACCGAGTTTCGGTTGGTGCTGGTTGTACAGTAACGTGAGGCCCAGCCTTGTGAGGGCTGTGGTGACCAACTCGAGATTGCCAGTCTGTCATAAAATTTTTGGGCTCATGAGTTTATGAGTGAGGCTAGCATAGCCTGGGTGTCACCTGAGTTGATGTAGCTGGGCCTTCCCCTGCCTCCGTGTTGTCCGTTGATGTATGGAGGAGTTTGAATAACTCTGCTTTCCTTGCTGTAGCAGGGTAGGGGATTTGTCACCTCCTTAGGTCGGTGGTAATGTGTGGGATCGTCCAGGATCTGATTGCTGCTGGACTAGCAACATCTCCTCTGCTTGAAGGTGTATCATTCTAGCCGGGGTGCTAGGAAGAGGTGATTCTTCACCATCTTTTGGAGAAATACTTAAATAACAATAAAGATGCAATTATTTGTACCCAGGGTTCTTGTACTGGCTTGCTAGCTAAGCCGTAAGGCGAAACGATTAGGCTTGGTGTTTTTGGTGACTGGTGAGGCCCTGCTAGTTGCCAAGTGGCTTGAGAGGCTCTATCTATGCTTGGCGCGAGGGGATTTTGTGTGGCCACCGAACATTGTGGCAGGATGTTGGCCTCTCGGTGACAGTAACCAGAAAATAGGAAGGGGAGTGACAGGTGAGGCCCTCTCTATGATACAATGCGAGGCGGCTAGCTCACGAGTGGCCCGAGGGGTGTATGCCTCCGAGTGTGAGGCGGGGTGTTGGCCTCGCGGGACCACTAACCGAAGCATAATGCAGAGAAAAAAGGGGGTAATACCTATTGGGCCCTAGAACCCTAATTGCCAGTACACTATTACTATTCCAGGGAAGGTAAGAGATGGATAACTACGTGAGCAGGTGTATGTACCTGGTAGTATGGTATTGAACCTGACAATCCGTATAGGTTTTTTAGTAGTAACTGTAACCTGAATGGATAAAACCATATGGCATAAGGAAATATGACATAGACCAAGCTTATCTTAATACGTACAGTATATGTGAAAAGTAAAGTGATGTGATGTGTAAATATTAAACATCGTAGCCATACTGGTTAAATATGTATCAATCTTAACCCATTAAGTGCCGTATGTACAAGTGAAAATGTGGTCTGTCCCCACCTTGTATGTTGTATGTCCCCTTGCTAGGGGAAAGTCTGTTGCGTGAGCAGCGTGCTGTGAAAAATGTATGTGAACTATATTACCAGTTACGTATATACAGACGCGTCTGCTACTGTGTAATAATATATGTATTTATACCAGATGTTGATATAGTGCTTGCTATGTGAATTGTTGTATGTCTTATTGAATGGTAGGGGTCAGTGAACATGGTGTTGCAAAATGCAAGTGCACTGGAGATCTGCCGAGTGCCCTATAGGTGGCAGTGTAGTTGGATACTGATTGGTATGTGAAATGTTGTTTGTCTGTTGACCTATAGGTGTAAGTGTTTTGGTGTTTGTAAAACCCCATGAAAATTGTCAATGTACTTGACAGACCTGTAGGTGGCAGTGTTGATAGAACCACTGTTGGTCTTGATGTGAAATGTAAATTATTGTGAATTAAACCTGAATTTGAGCCCGTGCTGGAGTTTCATTTATGGTTTATGGTTATGTTTAACCCCGTAAGGACCAAACTTCTGGAATAAAAGGGAATCATGACACGTCACACATGTCTTGTGTCCTTAAGGGGTTAAAACAATCTTATGTGTAATTTATATTGGCTGGTAAATTGTATATGACATGTGAAGACAGTTTTGCTGTTGACCAGTAGGGGTCATAAATGCTGATTGTATGGTAAAAATACCCTTTAACCCCTTAAGGACCAAACTTCTGGAATAAAAGGGAATCATGACATGACACACATGTCATGTGTCCCTAAGGGGTTAATCCTACCGTATGACAGATAGGAGTCAGTATAAAAGCGAAAATGCTGTAGTTAGTTTGTTTGCTTATGAAGTGAAATAAAGTCTGAGAAGACTGTAGTATACCGATTGACCGGTAGGGGTCAGCATGTAGGCGAAAATGCCGTGGTTCGTTGGTTTGTACATGAAATGCAATAATGTCTGAGAAGCCTGTAGTACACCGAATGACTGATAGGGGTCAGCATGTAGGCGAAAATGCCGTGGTTCGTTGGTTTGTACATGAAATGCAATAATGTCTGAGGAGCCTGTAGTACACTGAATGACCGGTAGGTGTCAGTGTGTAGGTAAAAATGCAGTGGTTTATTGTTTTGTACACGAAAAGCAATAATGTCTAAGAAGCCTGTAGTACACCGAATGACTGGTAGGGGTCAGTGTGTAGGCGCAAATGCAATGGTTCGTTGGTTTGTACATAAAATGCAATAATGTCTGAGATGCCTGTAGTACACAGAATGACTGGTAGGTGTCAGTGTGTAGGTGAAAATGCAGTGGTTTATTGTTTTGTACATGAAAAGCAATAATGTCTAAGAAGCCTGTAGTACACCGAATGACTGATAGGGGTCAGTGTGTAGGTGAAAAATTAAGTGGTTTGTTGGTTTGTACCTGAAATGCAATAATGTCGGAGAAGCCTGTAGTACACAGAATGACCGGTAGGGGTCAGTGTGTAGGTGAAAATGCAGTGGTTCGTTGATTTGTACATGAAATGCGATAATGTCTAAGAAGCCTGTAGTCCACCGAAAGACCAGTAGGGGTCAGTGTGTAGGTGTAGATGCAGTGGTTTATTGGTTTGTACATGAAAATGCAAACAACGCCTAAGAAGCCTGTAGTACACCGAATGACCGGTAGGGGTCAGTGTGTAGGCAAAGATGCAGTGGTTCCTTGGTTTGTACATGAAATGCGATAATGTCTAAGAAGTCTGTAGTACACCCAAAGACCAGTAGGGGGTTTAAACGAATGATATGCATGAACATCCAATGGTTTTAGAACAGACTTAGACAAAATGCAGCTGTAAAGTGAGGACCTGACCCGTGCATGGTGCCGTGGGACTGATGCCTGGCGTAATGGGTAGGTTGACTTACGGTTTGGGAGTCACTTGGACACCATCCACAGCGATGGACTGAAGAAAGAAGGTGGTAGGCCGGAAAAGCCTGTGGCTGGATTCCTGACACAGCTCAGCTTAGAAAACCTCATGGAGTAATCAGGTAAAATGGCGTCTGGATGACCCGGAAGTGGAAATCATTCTGATGCTGACCTCAAGCGATATGGAGTCAGGTAAGGGGTGTCCCTTATATAGGGGAGTGAATTAATTTAAGCCCCTCCCACAAATACAGGCAAAACTGCCTTAATACATATAAAAAAGCAAAAATCCCCTGCACTCACGCTTTAACCGCTTCATCAACCAGAGCTCCACATGACACAGTATCCAGAAAGAAATAGTGGTCACTATTTTTAAAACTCAATTAAATAAAGTTTCATTTTTTAGGACCGGAGAGCAGCCATTCCTTTCTGGATACTATAAATATATAAATAAAAAAAATAAAAAACATCAAACATTATGAAACATATTTCTCAATATATTAAATCATTTTTAAAGTTTATAAAAAAAAATAATAATAATAATTTGAAAAAAAACATATTGAGTAATGTACTGAGCGCACTTATGGGTTAGTTATTCAAACTGTAATATGCAGTATTTCCAGAAAGAAGTATATATGCCATGAGTATAATTAAAAGAAGACCTGAAAAAGCTATATATTTTCTTTATGATGATGGTGGTTGGCTGTACTTCTGCAAAATCACTGCTTTGATCAACATTGCTTTTTACAGAGTTCAAGGTGTTGCCTTAGCCTCCAAATTCCCCAGATCTTAATCTGATTGAGCATCAGTGGGATCTCCTGGAACAACAAATCCGATCCATGGAGATCCTACCTCGTAACTGGTGACGTCTTGGTGCCAGATACCGCAGGACACGTTCAGAGGTCTTGTAGAGTCCATGCTTCGATGCATCAGAACTGTTCTGGCACGAGGGAGTTCCTTCCCTTGACCTTCACTTATTAACATTTTTAATATCTCTAACACTCTTATGGATTTTCCAATCCCTTTCTTTAACCCTCTTGATATCAGACCGTTGGTTGTGTAACTCCCGTGGGATAAGCCTTTCTGATCTCATGGCTGCAGCCTGGATACTCAATATTGCCAGGCTCTGGACTACCTTACACAACTTTATAGTATGGAGCAGAACTTTGCAGTTATTAATTACACAGACATTTAAAGCAGTCCAACATGCTTACTACAGCTACTGTGGTGGATATGGTGCTAGAAAGCCATGACCTCAGTCCTTCAGTTTGTTGTCAAACCATTTTCAATTAGCTTGAGGAACTGCCTGCACCCAAAGTCCATCCCATTTTCAACATCCTGACAGAGAAAACAGAGAATTGATCTAAGTGTCTTAACATGTTCACGTCATGAACTGGGAGACTAAAAGCTCCAATGTACAAATGTTCATTCAGCACAAGTGAATCGCTCTTAAAGGGGCCAGTGATGAGTTGTTTGCACCAAAAGGCCTCCGGTGATTTGGCCATGTGTGCACTTTTCCAGATTTAATATTTTTCTATGCTAATCCAAGTAGTGCCACTTGTTATACAACACACTTTAATACAGTGAGGGTTTCCCGGACACCAACTCACATTCATTAGCTAATCACCAGAATGCTGGTGTAAGATTTACCTACAAAGTGGTAGCAAGCCAACTAGAACCCACTTTCTTAGCTCCGTACTTTAAAAGGCTCCACAAAATAAACCACACAACAGGCAGATGTTGGAGAAAAAAGGTCCCAACCAAGGATTTTAATGAGAATCTTTATATCTGTTTATATTTATACATATATATATATTTGTAGTTGTTCTATGTGATGATGAAGTATGTGGTGTGGGAAGGGGCTGATCGTGCAGGGAAGGGGACAATTAATTAAAGAAATATTTACCCCCACTTATCATTATGAAAATAACATCATTTACAACGGGGTAGATTGAAATTTGGATCAAACTGCTAAAAGGCACTTAAGAGTAGCCCATTTCATTATATATGTGAATGGTCCATACAGGACACATCCAGTTGGTCAGGAAAGAACTTATACCACATATTTCACCAATCAAGGAATAACATTATTAAACAGGAGGAGGTGTTACCCGTACAACTCAGACAGACATTAAAAAGTAGTGAAATTCTCATTAGGTGCCATTGATGTCACATGCGTACAAGCAACAATTTTAAGCATTTTACAAATTAGTCAAAAATTTCAACCCAGAAGATAAGTCGACATCTAGTTAAACATCTAAACTACTGCCTGGGTGTCCAACCCTGGGCCTCTAGCTGTTGATGAGCTACAAAGTGGAATAGTTGGAGTCCATCAGAGACTGGCAGTGACTTGTGAGAGTTGAGGTTTAACAACAGTTGGATACCTGCCCCATTACAGAACAGCGTCATGGTGGCATTATGTCCTTTGCAAAGAGCTGTCAGTTGTCTATACACATGAAGTGGAGTTACATTTGCAGTACTCAAACTCCTGAGGGCCTTGCTTTATTATGGGACCTTGTAAGTGGAAAAAACAGATCCTCTTGGGTCAGTAGAGAACTTTGTGGGGGATCGCCTCGGACAGTGTTAATAAAAGAGATAAATGGGGTGGGAGGGAGAGAAACAATGTCGGGTTATTTACACAGGAAAGACAGCTTGGGTCTTCAGTACACGGAGTAGATACGGATTCCACAGCAAAGAACCATGCTGAATATCATCTCAACAATCTAAACAGGGAGAAAGTACAGAGAAAAAAAAATATTATTTCTATGGCATTCAAAACGTAACAGACCAAAAAAGTAAACACAACACGTAGGCGGGCAAGTACAATGAAGGATGTGCAGATTTCAGACTTAGAGACATCAGCACTGCACCCGGTATGAAATGGTTAGCTCACATTGAACCTCAATAAATGCTACATTTTACTAGAGTGAGACATACATTAGAGGTAAATATGAAACGCACTTATTAATGAAGCCTTTTATGGTTGTAACACTCGAAGGCACAGAATATATATGAATATTGAATCACGATATTCCCATGAATTATGCTATGCTAGTAAGATTGTGCCATAAGGTTCTGGCATATCGTATATATCTCCCCCCAAAAACAGGCTTCACATCACCATCTACCAGACTTCCTCAAACACTCTCCCAGCCTTGTCATTTTTTCCTAACCAACTGTGTTAGCAATAGCAGACATCTTGTTTTGGGGTATTTATTTTATTTATTGTTTGCATTTGAATCAGGTAACATGTTGTAACTCGTGCACATAACGATTTGAGGATGTACAAATACATGTACCATTTTTATTTTTTAAGTTACTCTGTATGCTTGGCTATCCGAACACATTTAGCCTGAGCAGTGCCACATTTGTGTCTATGGCACTATGGAAGGAATCGCCCTGGACACAAAGTGCTTACAATGTATGTGTGCTTTTTACTTGTCTCCCCTGAACTATTCAACACATTAAAAGCTTCAGTAATGTTTAGTGGTCACTGCCAGAGAAGTTCCATTTTAAATTAAATCATCGTATCTAGGGTGACTGAAATGATTTCATTGCACTTTGCGCATTGCTATATTTTTCCTTATAAACAGATAATAAATCATAATAAATAACCAGTTCAGATAACTAAGATGTAAAAATAAAATGTATGATTCCTTTTTTTTACCAATCCGTAAATCATGACATTTTTATTCTATTAAGTTAAAAACAAAGGCCCTTGACGCTGAGGAATTAATACATTATAACACGTCTTCTTTGTTGGTTTAAAGGGACACTCCAGGCACCCAGACCACTTCTGCCCATTGGAGTGGTCTGGGTGCCAACTCCCACTACCCTTAACCCTGCATCTGTAATTATTGCAGTTTTTATAACCTTGCAGGGTTAACTCCACCTCTAGTGGATGTCTACTAGACAGCCACTAGAGGGCACTTCCTGGTCTATAGCACAGGTTTTCTGTGCTAGAGCATCGCTGGACATCCTCACGCTGTGTGAGGACCTCTAGCGTCGCTAAAATCACCATAGGAAAGCATTGAAAAGCATTTACAATGCTTTCCTATGGAGAGGTCTAATGCGCGTGCGCGCCATTGCCGCGTATACGAATTAGGTCTCCCCAGCCGGCGGGTGTGATCAGTCTCCCCCGCCGGCCGACGTGATGAAGAGGAGGCGTGGCGGCGGAGGAAGAAGCAGTGACATGGGACATCGTCGCTGCCTTTGGTAAGTGACTGAAGGGGTTTTCACCCCTTCAGCAACCGGGGACGGGAGGTGGGAGGGAGAGGGGACCTGCAGTGCCAGGAAAACGGATTGTTTTCCCGGCACTGGAGAGTCCCTTTAAAGGAACACTCCTGGTACCATAACCAAGGGGTGGTTATGGTGTCAGAAGTGCGGTGGCTCCCCCTCATTATAAGTAGTCAAACCGTTTTAGAATGGTTTGAATTCTTACCTGGCGTTGCTCCCTGCCTCCACTACAGCTTATAGAAGAGCTGTAAGTGCTCTGTCTTAGCTAAGTCAGGAGAGCTGTCAGCTCCTAAGCAGGAACTTTCAGATCTCTTGCTAGCTGAGAGGTGGTGGGAATTGCACTTGTCGAACCCCACGCAAGTTGTCAAGGTGTTCTAAATGATTTGACTACACTGCAGGCACCATAACTACTACAGCACAGTCATTGCTATAGTGTTTGCTGTGTTCCTTTAAAAAAAAAAAAAAGTTTTGCCAATTTTCATTAATAATTTCATAACAAATTAAGAATTTCAATAAAAATTGGCACTTTTAAAAACTAATCTGGTTTCACCTCCCTGGCTGTCAATCAGACAACAGGTCCTGTTACTTCCTGGTTTGGTTAGCGCAGTGGAGATAAACTCAAGAGGCAGCAATTGCCCAGAGCACCTGCTTTGCAAACACTTCTCATTGAGCTGCATTGGGAGTCTGTAATTGGACAGCCACAGAAAGTTTGGGCGGGGTTAGCAAAGGCTGCAGATAACAGAACTGCAGCGTTTGTAAACTGTTTTTGATATAGGCCCATGAATGCATATTTTCATTTGAGGTATATTTACAGAACTAAGTAGTGTTTTTTGTTATTTTAATTTGAGTAGTGGAGCGTCCCTTTAAGTGAGTCGAGTGCCTGTTTTTGTTTTTTTGGTACTTTACATCAGTTACCTTGAATAATGTGTTTGTATTTTATTTATGGTAGACATTATCTTGTGGTTATTGCAAAGAGTGAACATTTCCCACAAACCTTCCGCTTTTTTTTGCTGCAAGATTTCTGACAACTCGTCCTTCTGGTTTAGTATAACTGTTGGGCTTTATAATCTAACCAAACTTTCATCACCCAGACCTCAGCACTGGAATGAGGTTCACGTGGTTGATTTCCTATGAACAATAATGGTGGCTTAGCTGACACTGGCTTTAAACTGACTGCAAGTGAAACCGCTTCAAAACAAGTAAATCTCAATGGAATGACCACATCAACTGGACACCAACAGCTTTAACCTAAATAATAACCTGCATTTTTGTATCAAATTTTAGGAGTATTGCAGCATTCTGCATCTTAAACTCAATTCCACTGTGTCACCACCTCCCCCATTCTAAAAAATACTTTATTTCCTCCCAAGATCCTCTGCTCTAACCATAAAGCAATTTGTGGGATAAAACCAGTCCCATATAACAGTATTAACCCCCAATTTGCTGATCACTTTCTTGTTTTGGCAGTTAGTTTGCAGCCTATGTAAAGCACAAAACAATTATTGCAAATGTAACAACTTTCAATGTTAGTATATTTATTATTTAATTGTTTGGGATTGGTAGCTTTTGTATCCATTTTCAAAATAAATAATAAATCTATAATAAAACATAATAAATAATTAAGAGTGGGTGTACTGACTATTTGAGTTTGTACTTACCATGATTACGGCTACGATGACGGCCGCAATGCCAATCAGGTAAAGCTTTGTAGAGAAGAGTTCATCGATCTTTTGGTGACAATCCTGCGGGAAGAGATTGTGTTACTGAGCAGAAGCAGTGCTATTCCTCGCCCGCCCTCCACAGTGACTACTGCTTAAACAACTAACCTTCGAGAACGGCTCGATTGGATCTTTGCACAGTGGTGTATTCTGCATGTACACCTGGATTGATCTGTCTGCACAACACTGGAGCTGTGAAGGGCAATTATCACAAAATCAGAGAATTCCTACAGGTAACAAGAGGTAATGGCAGGAGAGCTCCACAGATACAGTGAGTAGAATTACCGTCTCGTGGAAAACCTTCAGTACTGGAAGGGCTTTATCCCTATTTTCCTTGGACCCAGTCTGTGTCAGAGAATAGGCCTCGTCGTAAAACTGCTTTATCTCTTTAGACACCTGGGGAGGAGGAAGTAAAGCAAAAAGATTAATTAATTAAGCAAGTCCACCATTTCTATTTCTGTACAACATCTACCTGTCTCCTGCAAGCCTATCTGATGCCAGACATTAAAAAATCAAACAGGCTAAAAATGAATTCTAGAAAGAAATGTACCAACTTTATGCCCTCTACGTCAGCGATGCCCAAAAGGTAGATCCCAGATGTTGTACAACTCCAACTCCTATGATGCCTTTAGATTTAGAATGGTTTAGAATAAAGCATCATGGAAGCACTACATGATCTCTCAGAAAGAATATCCGGCATTTCTTTACTGCTCGCCGGGTGGTGGTGGTGATGGTGACCTAAACAGTTCAGTAGTGTCAGGACACTACAGCGTTAGGACTCCATGTCTGCATGTCTAGTGCTATGAGGTTATTTGAAACACACTGTGCAATGAGGAAAGCTGACATATTTGAATTCCTTTACAAGCAGTGTGCAGGGAGGCTGTGTGAGTCTCCCCCGGGGACATGTGGCTAGGTCTAGGTGTTTAATGAAGAATTGAGCAGTAATACTGCAGCGTTATGACCTATATACCAAAACCACTGCATTAAGCTAAGTCCGTTATTTCTGTGCTTAGAGTGCTCATGTCAGTGTAAATTGTCCCCAATGGTAATCCTAAATTCAAGGCCAAAATTGACGAATTGGAACATTTTCCAAGTAAGCAGAGTTTCCTGCTCAGCTATTCTAACATAATAATATTGAATTCCTGACAAATCACACTTTAATATTAGTAAACAACTGAGCCAAACCAAGTAGGTCCAGTATTTTCAGATTTGATGTAATCAACATAATTATCTATACTACTAATCTTTGACTGTCCAATCACAGACTTCCCAATGCAGCTCAATGAGAAGCCATTGTCAACCCTCCCCTTCTAACCCCACCCAGCCTTTCTGTGGCTGTCCAATCACAGACTTCCCAATGCAGCTCAATGTGAAGTCATTGCAAGCCCACCCCTTCTAACCCCGCCCAATATTTCTGTGGCTGTCCAATCACAGACCTCCCAATGCATCTCAATGAGAAGTCATTGCAAGCCCTCCCCTTCTAACCCCGCCCAGTATTTCTGTGGCTGTCCAATCACAGACTTCCCAATGCAGCTCAATGAGAAGTCATTGCAAACTCTCCCCTTCTAACCCCGCCCATGCTTTCTGTGGCTGCCCAATCACAGACTTCCCAATGCAGCTCAATGTGAAGCCTTTGCAAGGCAAGTGCTCAGGGCAATTGCTGCTTCTCGGGTTTATTTCCAACCAGCTAAACAAACCAGGAAGTAACAGGACTGGGTGTCTGATTGACAGCCGAGGGGTGTAACCAGATTTGTTTATAAAAGTGTCTATTGAAATCTGAATCTTTTTGTAAAATGAAAAGAAGAGGGCACACCATTCACAGATAAAGCTTTCCTGCAATGTAATGTGCTTTGGGGTCTGGATTGTCCCTTTAAATCAATCGAACAAGTTTTGGTCTATTCCAAATCAGAAGTGTTTCAGCAGGAAGCCTCAGGGGATATATAAAGAGGATTGGCTGCAACTGTTATGGCAGTTTTATAACTATGTTGTAAGTGAAGAGTTATAATCTTATTGTTCTCCCCTGAGGGTGTCAAGTCCAAATCTTATGAAACACACAAGGATATTTTCTTTTTTTACAAAACACTGACCTCAGGGTGAGGGATGAGATCACAGACTGTACCAGAGGGGTTGGAGTATTCATACAAAGCTTTTACTGTTCGTATAACTGTGAGTATGTTTTATGAATAAAGTATTGTTCGATTTTTAAAGTTGACCTTCTGTTTCTGCTGGTCATTTTTGCTCCCTCGCACCAATAACAATGTCATATTGCACAGCACCTGCTGAGACGCATCTGATATAGTAACACAATTTCCGATTTTTTTATTTGGGTAGATTTCTTTTTAAACTAGATACATTTCCCTAATATTGTTTAAACATTCTTTTTTTTTTATATTTCTATATTTTCTACTCGTGTGTGTGTGTATATAAATAGAGTGAGAGAGAGAGAGTCTCTATAGGTATCTCAAAGGAATATGGATAACTATAAAGGCTGTATTGTTTCTCCACATCAGGATGGTTTGAGTTCTCAAAGGAATATTAAACTCCCCTAAGGCATTTAAAGAGTCACTCCAAACTGAATTTTTATTTAAAATAACATTCACTTTTTGTAGATATACTCTCAATGAATATGGATACATGCATGCATTTTCCATGCATGGGGTTCATATCTTAAAATAGCTTGAAAACCCTCCACCTCTTATTAATTGCACTTTGCAAGCCCTTCCCTTTTTCAGGAAGAGACTAACCGTTTCTTCTTGAGGAAAGAGCCAATCAGAGCTTCTGAATCTGAGAGCCAAGAAGCACTCGAGCGTCTGATCTGATGTCTGTAAAGGAGCAGGTCTGAAGTCTGAGTGCGAGGAGGCAAGTAGTGCGTGCCTGTAACTTATATCAGCTCAGGTTAGCTAACGGAAGAAGGCAGCAAACTTCACTGGCTGCTTATTGACAGAAAGGGGAGTGTTCCACTTTAATAAACTGGGTTAATAAGAGGATACTCCTCGCCTATAAGGCATTTCAGCAAGCTTTGGGCTTTATGGATGTGGAGTGGTCCTTTAAGCACGGTGAGTTGCTCTACGGCTTATCGTTCTACCCCTCATTTCACACTTTATAAACATGATGATTTCAAGAGAAATTGGTATCTTTATAAAATCAGACAGCCGGGAGAGTGCTTTTCCTGAATGGTTTGTGCCCAGCATAAAAAGATGAAGGCAGTGCTTCTATATAAGACCCTCTCGCAGATTATCTACTTAGGTGGAAAATGGAGGGGGGGGAGGCAACACAGACTGTCAATGCAACACCCTTCACACCCTGAGAGTTGGTGACTGTCTCAGATAGCAGTGAGTCTAGGATCACCACTTACTATAACCACAGCAGATGTTATTGGCACGGTATAGGTGTGTCAGGAGTAAGAGGTAGCGGTAATGTTAAACAACTACAACATATACCTTGTACAGTACCTAAAAACAAAATAGTATAAAAACCAATCAAATTATAATACCCAATCATTAAAGGAAAATCATGTGTTTAATGATCCAGCTCTCTCAAACACTAGGCATTATTCTTTAAATATCGGATCATATTAATCATACTTATGGTAACTTGCATTTAAGAGTGGCAAACGAATCATATGTTATCGTGGCTCACTCCCAGTAATCACAGCGGACATCTCACCTGTTCCCTGTTCACAAAGCCCCAGATTCCAGCGGCCACTTCACAGGCAAACAGGATTACCAGGCAGGCAAAGAACTGGGGAGAAGAAGGGATAACGCAAGTGAGATATTGGGGAAGGATGAGTACTTGTTACTATAAAGAGATACGTATGATGCTAGTACCCGTGATTATACAAGTGATCCTAGAACCCGAGATCATATTACACATCCATAAATGTAATTCTAATACCCTTAATTAGACGAGTTCTCCATTACTTTATTGAGAGGTACCCCATGACTCTATTATAAACAGATAAATATGGTGCCAGTCCCTGCGATTCTATTATAAATAGGTAGATATGATGCTAGTTCAGCCACTGTTACAAATATGATATAGCTAAAATGTCATTGTTCCCTTGATACTGTTTATGTGCATACAGATAGCCATGTCTCAAGCCTCGTTAGCCCAGACAATTTATAACCTCTCCATATAAAGGTACTCTGCAGTGATTAACGTAACCAGCACCACAAACTGCAGACTCTGCATCAGACTTACCGTCAGTAGCCATGAGTTAATCCACGTTAATATTTTCTTTTTCTTTATCTAACTAAGTGCCTGCTTACACACCACACATTGAAAGAGTTAGCAGACAATGGTCAGGGTGTAGAGCACTAACTGTTGCACCATTTGTTCCATGATACTAGAAGTGACAGTTTTGCAATTCCGGGAAATCTAAATTCTATCCACCCCTGGGTTACAAAAATAGCCACGCGATTGTTACAGGAATATATTTATTCACATATCCCAGCTGATACCTAGAGACGTATCACACCTCTTAACACATCTCAGGTGTGCATCTCGATAGGAACCCCTTGGAACACATACAGATATTGAGACAGAGTATTTCTGAGCCTACGTCACTCTGTCTTTCTGTTATTATAACAGACTGGTAATAAAGAGGCTGTGGTATTACATGCCGAGGCTCACATCCACTTACCGTTCCAAGAAGACACTGTGATTCTTGAATGGCCCCGTAACATCCAAGGAAGCCGACAAACATCATTACAGCTCCTACGGCAATCACAATGTAGATACCTGAGGTGGACAGATAGAGCCAGTCAGTAGCTATGCAAATTAATGATGAGCTTGGATATGTGTTAATTACTAATAAAGTGTGTAGTCAGGCTTTCTACAGGACGTCTGGAAAAATGTTTCTACATTAGGCATTTTATGTAATGTCTGGAGAGACACATCCAATGAAAGAAAGTAAATAAAACTCCAACATCGTCACCCAATTTTACACAAATGGCTCTCATACCACGGCTTATATTTTTAAACAAGTTTAAATTTTTACACTTTTGTTTCATATAATTCTAAAGGTCTTCAGTTCAGTACTTTTCTATTGAATACAGAGATAATATCTGTTTAAATCATTTTTCATACATAATCTATTTTTCTGTATAAAGCTATTCATTATAATGCCCAATTCAGGGCTTATAATCATCTGATTACATTTATTCAGCTCTAGCTTTTGGCTGGTTATAGGGACACTATAGGCACCAATACAAGTTTAACTTAATGAAGCAGTTTTGGTGTTTAGATCATGCCCCTGCAGTCTTATTGCTAAATTCTCTGCCATTTAGGAGTTAAATCACTTTGTTTATATAGCCCTAGCCACACCTCCCTGCATGTGACTTGCACAGTCTTCATAAGTACTTCCTCTGAAGAGTCATCTAATTTTTACATTATTGCAAATTCTGTTTAATTTAGAATGTATTATTCCCTGCTCTGTTACTAGTTACTAGACCCTGCAGGACCCTCCTGTGTGTGATTAAAGTTCCATTTTATAGAGCAGGAGATAAACATTTTTAAAGCAAGTTAACATCTGAAGCCTAGAGCTGCATGTACAGAAACAAAAGTGATTTAACTCGTAAAATGCAGAGAACTGACCAGGGAGACTGTAGGGCCATGATCTATACAGAAAAACTGATTCATTAAAAAGTAGTTTTGATGCTTATTGTATCGCTTCAAATTCCTCTGTGGTTCAATGTATTTACTAACAATTAAATGCCAATCAAATTGAGCCCCGAAAAAGATCTGTGCTATTTTCAAATGCATTTTATTGCAGCACTGAGGTTTAGCTGAAAATAGCTCTAATTACCTAAACTTACTGTTTCAATTAAAAAAAGAAAGAAAAAAATGCCACGATGTAGTAATAATTATTCAGCGTTGGTTAAAAGTCGGGGTATCGTTATTGGGTAAAGAATTATTTGGGGAAGTGTTAGAGTAACTTAGGGGGGCAACCAGTTCTGGATGCAATTCCCCTGCTCGATATTATGGAAACTGAAACAACTGAGTAAATAGAACTTGGCTGCAATTTGGAGGTTTGTGACCAGCGAAATCAGACAAGTTATATGAAGATTTGGAATTGGAGATTAATGGACACAACAAGGCTCACCAATGTAAAATGTCCCAGGAGCTGGTTTGTCTCCGATCTGCTGAATCAAAAGGTTGGACGTTTTGGGCTCATGTCGAAGCCATAACGCAACTCCAAGTATGACTCCTCCAGCCAGCTTCACAGACAATCGAGTGGGATCAATCAAAATGTGCAGAAATAGAAAGACGTGGAGAAAAAGACAAAGATTAATTAGCCAACTTAGAACATCACAAACCATATTATGGCTGCAGTGACAAACATACATGGGTGCTTAGGATAGAAACATGTTTTCAAACATGAAATAGACTTACGTTATATTACATTTATTGATGTTTATAATGTCTAGTAAATATCACGGAGAGATTTCAAATAGGTCTTCTTGAAAAATATCCACATTTTACTGCACTTCGTGCAAATATATCCATTCTTCCCCTCATGAAAAGGAAAACATAAATAATTCTAAAAGTTTATACTACAATATTTAATCAATAATCTCTGCTCTGGTGGAAGTGTTGTTTTTGCAATTAACATAATTATTGAAAATTGTTCTCACATATAATGACTAAATACAGTTTTACAGAAATGAAAAACACGTGAGACTAATATGCCAGCTATAATGTAAGAATTTGTAATATTTTTGTGCAAGGTCATCATAGTCAATGTTACATAGTGAGATAGTTCCATAGTTACATAGCTGAAAAGAGACTTGCGTCCATCAAGTTCAGCCTTCCGCACATTTGGTTTTTGTTGTTGATCCAAAAGAAGGAGGAAAAAAAACAGTTTGAAGCACTTTTGCAACAAGCTAGGAAAAAAATTCCTTCTTGACCCCAGAATGGCAGTCAGATTTATCCTTGGATCAAGCAGCTATTACCCTACATTGAAAGATTATATCCTTGAATATTCTGTTTTTGTAAGTATGCATCTAGTAGCTGTTTGAACATCTGTATGGACTCTGATAAAACCACTTCTTCAGGCAGATAATTCCATGTCCTTATTGTTTTTACAGTAAAAAAAAACCCTTTCCTTTGCCTTAGACAAAATCTTCTTTCTTCCAGTCTAAATGCATGACCTCGTGTCCTATGAAAAATCCCGTTAGTGAATAGATTTTCACACAATGATCTGTATTGGTTTTGGATATATTTGTAATGTATATAATGCATAATCTAATATAAATGAGTTGGCTCGGTACTCGAGTCTAATTTGCAGGGTTGAAGGTCAACCAACTATCATACAGGCAATTTTTCAGGCATATTAACGTAGGCATACCTCTGTAGGATGCCCGATCCTCGGGTGTATACACCGTGAGAGTTTGTGTAATTTTCTAATGCATGCAAGGCTGTCAAGGCAGAGTTTGGCATACCATGTAAATCACCTCTAATCAATAATATCACTGTTAAAACGGAGTAAAAATTGCATTATGGGAAGATTGAAGATGAGCGTGTGCATGCTCACCCAGCATCAAGATATCAAGAGAAGATGTCAGTGAATGTGTAGCCAAGGTAAGTGGTCTTCAAAGATACCAACGTCACCCCTTTAAAAGTTTCTAAACTATTTCCAGCAGTGAGTGAAAACAGAACTGACCGCAGCTTAACATTTGACGGATCCTCTTTATATATAAATAATACAACGTCTTCCTTGTCATACAGGTGAAGCAGAATGGTCATTTTTGAATTATTTCTATTTAAATATAATGCACACTCCATCAGCTTTATGGATATAAACCATATATTTATGACCCCTGCCCCTGGAAGTAACAGAAAGACACATTTCTGCAGGTTGTCCCAGTATATTTGCCTTTTAAAGGATCACTATAGGGTCAGGAACACAAACATGTATTCCTGACCATATAGTGCTAAAATCACCATCTAGCCCACCTGGGCCCCTCATGCCTCCATAAATATAGCAACAATCTTGTATTCTCTGTATTGAAGCCTAAAACTGTAAATCTGCATGCTGTTAGACTCAGAAAAACAAGCATTCTGCTGACATCATCAGAAGTGGTAGCCTGATCCAATCACAGTGATTCCCCATAGGATTGGCTGAGACTGACAGAGGCAGATCAGGGGCAGAGCCAGCACAATTCAAACAGCCCTGGCCAATCAGCATCTCCTCATAGAGATGAATTGAATCAATGTATCTCTATGAGGAAAGTTCAGTGTCTGCATGCAGAGGGTGGAGACACTGAATGTTTGGATGCATTTTAGGCAGCCATGACCCAGGGAGGATCTCTAACAGCCAACTGAGGAGTGGTCAGTGAAGTTATCACTAGGCTGTAATATAAACACTGCATTTTCTCTGATAAGACAGTGTTTACAGCAAAAAGCCTGAAGGTAATGATTCTACTCACCAGAACAAATTCAATAAGCTGTAGTTGTAGTTGTTCTGGTGACTATAGTGTCCCTTTAACCCCTTATGGACACATGACATGTGTGTCATGATTCCCTTTTATTCCAGAAGTTTGGTCCTTAAGGGGTTAAGCTGAATTCACAATATTTCTGTTCACATCCATCAAATAATAAGTGTTTTTTTTATGGGATATTTACTACTTCCCAGAACATTTCTGAACAATTTATTCCTACACAAGGCACAGGGCAAAACGTTCACGTACAATATACAGCTTAATGTACGGTATACAGCTTAATGTACAGTATACAGCTTAATGTACGGTATACAGCTTAATGTATAGTATACAGCTTAATGTATGGTATATACAGCTTAATGTACGGTATACAGCTTAATGTACAATATACAGCTTAATGTACAATATACAGCTTAATGTATAGTATACAGCTTAATGTATGGTATATACAGCTTAATGTACGGTATACAGCTTAATGTACAATATACAGCTTAATGTACAGTATACAGCTTAATATGCGGTATACAGCTTAATGTACGGTATACAGCTTAATGTACGGTATACAGCTTATTGTATGGTATACAGCTTAATGTACGGTATACAGCTTATTGTACAGTATACAGGTTAATATACGGTATACAGCTTAATATACGGTATACAGCTTATTGTACAGTATACAGCTTAATATACGGTATACAGCTTAATATACGGTATACAGCTTAATGTACGGTATACAGCTTATTGTATGTTATACAGCTTAATGTACGGTATACAGCTTATTGTATGGTATACAGTGTAATGTACGGTATACAGCTTATTGTATGTTATACAGCTTAATGTACGGTATACAGCTTATTGTATGGTATACAGCGTAATGTACGGTATACAGCTTAATGTATGGTATATACAGCTTAATGTACGGTATACAGCTTATTGTATGTTATACAGCTTAATGCAGGGCTTGAAAATTTTGTTTGAAATCTCAGAACCAGCGAAAAAAGTTAGGAGCCAGTTTTTTAAGGGACACTACAGTCACCACTACAGAGTAATGTTGTGGTTCTGGTGCTTATAGCCTGTCCCTGTAGGCTTTTCAGAGAAAAGGCAGCATTTACATTGCTGCCTACTAGGACCTCTAGTGACAGTCCCTCAGACGGCCACTAGGGAGTCCTGTGTCAGCGCTCTGTATGGAGGTGCTGAATGTTACCCATAGAGAACATGCGGAATATCCTCCCAATGCTTTCCTAAAAATAATATCAGGAAGTATTACTTTACTGAGAGGGTAGTGGATGCATGGAATAGCCTTCCAGCTGAAGTGGTAGAGGTTAACACAGTAAAGGAGTTTAAGCATGCGTGGGATAGGCATAAGACTATCCTAACTATAAGATAAGGCAAGGGACTAATTAAAATATTTAGAAAATTGGGCAGACTAGATGGGCCGAATGGTTCTTATCTGCCGTCACATTCTATGTTTCCATATTACAAGATGGCATTAAATCGTAACACGCCCAGTACATGCTTTAATGGATGTATTTCTGTGTACGGACTGAGTACCGCTAGGTGGGGTTTACTAATAGAGACAGTTTGAAGATTGAAGGTGATACAGAATCGCAGGAAGTGGTAACCCGAGCTTCAAGGATCATCTGGAGATCAGCAGCGAGCAGTCTGGTTTACATAGGAATGACTCAGATCCTTTTCTGGGGAAGGAAATCTGTGTTTGGATACTTTATTTTTTCAAGGAAAGCAATGCAGGGTCAGATTTGGCACCACAGGAAAGAAAAGGTCATCTCGAGGAAGGCACGGATCGTGAACATACCCAACGGTTAACGCAGGATGTAAACATTTTATTTCTCCCAGTGGGGACTAGGAATTATGCATACTACTAGCCATTCTAAAACGGCCTCACTGCTAATAATAACGGGGGCCACTCCGGGCACCATATCCACTACAATGCGCTGCGGTGATTATGGTACTTGGAGTGTTCCTTTAAACATGAGAGAGAAAAAAAAAACATGAAACTCATGGTTGGAAAAAAATCTGGATTTTAAAAAAAAATGTTTTTAATTTAAATCAGATTGTTTTTATTTTATTTTTTTTTCAACAAATTTCCTTTGCTTGTGAATGACCATTCATAAAACAGTAGTTGGTAAGATTGCTTACATTCATCACTTTATTTATTTGCTAAATGTCATAGAAAAAAAACCTTAAAGGACCACTATGGTGACAGGAAATCGATAAATTATATTCCTGATACCATACCTCTAATAGCGCTATTTAGGTGGAGGCCCTCCTGTCAGAACGGTAAAAGGTGTTAAAACTCACCTTTATTCCAGTGCCACGCTGGTCTCATGGCAGTTTCCTCCGTCCCTCTTGGCTGAGATCACCAATCTTGATGATCTTAGCCAATCCAATGCATTCCCAGAGTAAAGCTTGGGAGGCTATTGCACATGCGGTGTGCACATTTAGCGCCTCGATGAGGAGTGCGGAGACGCTGAATGTCAGTGCTGCACATTGTACAGCACTGACCCAGGAAGCACCTCTCTTCACTGAAAAGGCAGTGTTTACATTGAAAAGCCTAAAGCGACAGGCTGCAGACACCATTATAACTATGTGAGCTGTAGTTGTTCTGTTGACTATAGTGTCCCTCTTATGGAACAAGTGCAGCAAACAGCCATTTATTATAGGTACTTGGTGATAAATATACAAACTATGGCATGATGAAGAACTATGGCTGATGCTTATTAGAGAAAACTGAGTGACCATTTTCTCATAGTGACATTCTACGGTACACTTAGAACTTGTTATAAACCAGTCTGAAACTAGAATCCCTTGTGGCTAATGTGTGTGCGTTCATTAGCTGAGAGCTCTCTCGATAGCCATGGATTTCACAGCTCGGCAGTTGTCAAACGTGCGACACTGGACCACCAGGTAGTATCTGAGTATCTGATAAACTAT